GCTTCATTCGCGTTTTTAATTCGGTTTCTTGAATTTATTCTGCAGTCTGATTATTTGATGACGGCATTCAATTCTCTTTCTTCTTCCATTGTCATATTTTTGACATCAGCAAGGTATTGTTTTATTCTGCTTTGTTTTTAAGAACCTCGTTCCTGTGGTGGATGCAAACGCAACAGAATGAAAACGAGGTCTTGGATTCAAATATTGTGAATGAGACTTTCGGTTTTACAATTAGCTGCATGTTTGGCTTTGGCTCGTCCCTTTTAAGGTAGATAAAGATAGATAGGTACTGTCAGTACAACTGCTGCCCCTTCGATAAAAATCCAGACACCATGCTTTAAACATTTTTACTTTTGTAAATTGTTATTATTTATATAATAACCTCAGTATAGTTCATGCTCCCCTATCGTTTGAATTGTTGAAACGTGTTCGGTAGTTATTCTACAAATTAATTTACCTTTGTATGTCATACATTGAGGGCAGACCGAACCCCACTTTGACAAGCGCTCAAATCTTAGGTATTGCTCCCCTCTGTAATTGGATTGTAGAGGTCAGGTAGCAGTCACGGTGTATTGACTTGTTAACCAAAACTTCACTGAGCAGTAGTTGAAATTATGTTATGAACCGAGGGTTAGTTAACTTTCTATGTAGAAAGCATGAGTTTACCAAACTGACGAACCCACTTAGTGTACCAAGTAATCCTCGCGCCTGGCATTAAATCATCTCAGCGCGAAGTAGAGGCATTATTACGCGAACGTCGAGTCACTTAACCTTTGCTCAAAAGGAACCCCCGAACACTTCAAACGAATATTTATGTTCGCAGAGAATTTTACGATCCCGCAGATGTACTCCGCGTAGTCTGCGTACCCTCTCTTTTAAATGATCGATATGCGTGCAAATAAGCAGGGCCTTAAGCAGGAGCATTATACTGCGGGAGAACGGATGGGCGCCTGGGGCGCTCGCACCGCGCATGCGCTCACCGAATTACACCTCCCCCTACCAAAATATTATCCTGTTTATATTGAAAACAACACGCAAATTGCTGCTAATTTTAACTTAATGTTTTATATCCGATTTATCGATGAAAAATTATTTGATCGGTTTCCGTTAAAGTCTTTTGGACCTTTTTCCGTTTTAGCACCCATTACCGTTATTACGGCATTAGATTTCATGGTTATAGGTAAAATCGTGAGGTTAATATTTTTATAAGAAAGTATTGAAAGTTTGCGAGGCCTGTTTGTCGTCGATACTAGTATTTGCTGCAGTAAAAATAGACATGAACGTCTAGGTTGCTTTCATTGCTATTTATTTAGTGTCAAGGAGCTTCACTACGATGTGTGGAAAGGCCAGATAAACTATTTGATATCTAGCTCGTTGAAAAAAATGTCTAGGTATACTAAGGTGAACCAACTATCGTAAGAGTCATGTGCCTTTATTCTTTAACAACTTCCGAACTTTAACATCAGACTAATACGTATATTACATAAAACAGTTACAGATAGATACAGTTCGTTCCACCAACACAAGCCAGTCAGTGTGGCACAGAAATCGAATCCTGGGCAACAATGACCGACAAATGATGCGCTCCACTGGAGCCAAGTCACAATAAAATGACTTGTAAAAAAATATCAACTTGATAATTACACCTGCGCGATAGATACTACTCTTTATGGTGTCCACAATCAAACGGAACATTTGAAAGTCGATTAGAAAAAAATAAGAGAAAAATATAAGCGTTTTAGGACCTCAGTTCTCAGTCATTAGTATCACTAAGGAATTTAAAAAGAATGTCGATCCAAACGATAACTTCGTATAATCTTATCATTATAAGTATTTAAATAATGAAATTATCTTTATTTCAAATATTACTTAATACGTGAAGGACGAATTATTTCCTTTTTAAGCGTATTGTACGCACCATCGCTGATTGTAGAAATACAAATTATTTTTGTAGAAAAGAAAATAAAAAGACTTGGTTGAATTTTAAACTAAGCAATTTTGTTGGTTGGGTTTTTTTTTATTTTATTTTATTTTATTATGGGTATACCCAATTAAGTTGGGTATACCCATGTGGTCCTGGTCTTTTTGAGAATTAAGATCATGTCTATTTCCATTATTTCCATTTGCTTGCATATTTGGACTGTGTGTCCACAGGAGAAGATGTCAAACGAAATATGATACCCAATTCAAACATAAGGGTCTGGTCTCTTATTTGAAGCTCTACTTCAATAGTTTGCTTTTCATCGAGACTTGGAGAGCCAATTGAAGATTATCCTATTATAATCCGGTTTAAAATACCTTTGAAGTGTTTGGCTGTTAAAATAGATTTTATTAGTTAGCTATTTAATAGGAAATCATTGACAATTCATTGATAAAGTTTGATGAAGAAGTTCTCGTAAGTACGTTTTCTAAATAAAATGTCTTGTATTTACTTCTGTACAAATAGATACAAATTAGATCTCCAATATATCTTTAATCTGTTCATAGTCTACTCATTCCAATGTGATTTCTCATATTTTCCCGTTATTCATATAAATTAATGGACGCTCTTAATAAAGATTAAAAGTAAACCTATTAATTTCATCCAACTAATCCATATAAGTTTATAAACGTCGTCCGCTGAGGTTAAACCTTGTATAAACCTTTAGTTAATGAACTCGTTTATCTAAGCTCACGGCCGTAATTATTGTCTCATTGATTTATTGATAAATATCATTTATAATATCCAGCTGTAGCTACTAATTAATATTACTTATGGTTTATATCAATGTAAACACTGGCTTTCTTATTTTTATAAAAACAATAAACATAACTTTGTAGTATAACCATGTATACATTATTTATTAAAAGAAAAAAATATGTTTGGTCCAATCATCGTTTCTAATAGCCGTGTTAATTCCCTTATTAATTTACCATTTCTATTCGGCGAAATCCTCAGACATAATTAAAGCACGGCGCCAAAGTCTACCTGTCGGTGTACCTTTGCCCGCCGCTCTATTAGACAATAAAAAAGTTAATGCCTATACGGGCCTGCAGAGATGCGGCAACTTCTCACAGTACCCCACCCTCGCCCCACCCCGCGCACCTCTAACAAAAATAAAACAACCTTCCAAGGATACAACCACCGTAATTTTAAATTCAACATAACAACACGATATTGGCAGGCAAAATTCAACATTGCCACCTGGGTAACAAAGTTCAAATTCTTAACACATCCGTCCTCTTCTATACCATCATAGCTTTCAACTTAAAATAAACTTTGTTGTCTTTAAAGCACAGTTCATTATTGCTCGAAGAACGAATAAATAAGGTTGTAGACGCAAAGGCAGGGAGAAGAGTAAAGGGGGTTCATTAATCCCCGCGCCCTGCGCGCACGCACTTTCATGAATGGACCGAACAGGTTGATGTGTTTTAACTACAGGATGATTCTAGATTATTTTAAAAATGATTTGATTTGAAGTCAACTTTATTCATCTCAACTTATCGCAGAATGTAAGACCTAAGAGAACAAAAGAAAACATTTAAATATTTGTGTATACGAAAATATCACGTAGGGACATTTGAATGTATTTATTCATACTGACTAACGGAAATAATAAGGTCACTGATCAAAATTACAAAACAATGTTTTGTGAGATATCGCGAAGTCTTCTCTGACTTCCAAATTTTGTGATATCATCATTTTCTTTGTGTTGAGATAGTGGGTACAGATGACCCTGTTTCTTCTTAATTATTTCACCGTTGCCTTTCGTAAGAACCAGAGGTGATATTCCTAAATATAGTTTTCGTACTTAAACATCGATCCAGTTTCATTAAAGGTTTCCTTTCCTGTACATTATTTACGCCTTAACTAATTCTTTGACGTCAAAGTCGATCTCGTTTCTTATCTTCCCAAGACTTCCATAAGCTTTATCTGTGAGTGGGCAGTCTGCAGTAGCGTTAGCGTGTGTGCTATGTGGCCAAACAGGTCGTTCCACTAACATCCTGTGCATGGAAGGTTCGAAGGAAGCGCCGCAACGTCCGGCCGCGTGGATGTAGCGTGATGCTCTTTTTCCTTTTCGGTTTGTTTTTTGTTCATCTCATTTATTTATTCCAATGTAATCTCTTCCAGTTCATTTTTTATTCAGTCGGCCTTCAGTGTTACCTGTGCCGGGACGCCAAAGCCTTGTCTATATTATCGTCTTAGCACATTTGCTAAAGGAACGTTTTGATCAAAATATCTGGTGTAGTGTTGTGTTTCTTCATAAATACAAGTGACAATCGTATGGTTCTGATGGTAATTTAGTGGACATGTGACGTGTGTCAACTGGTATCTAGTGTTGGTCTTGTGTACTGTGATGATGGAACTTCCGCACTATCTACTTCTCTTGGCTCGGACTTCACTGAGTAACTTGAATCTCCTCTCGATGGAGCCTCCACAGTCACCCAAGTTTAATGTGCCTCTTTGGCAGCCATGGGTTGCGTCTCCTCAAAAAGGTATCTAGGACTATACTGTTCTTTACTGTTTTTATTTATATTACTTTAATTACTTTAAATTCTTGTTTACTATTGATAACACGTTTCAATATATCATTCACAAGTTTGTGAGCCTGTAACTAAGCTTGTTTAATATCGCCAGATTTATTTTGAAAATTTAATTTGATTTTGACTTCATACTTATTCGGTAACCTGCGTACAAAAGTGGCATTTTATATGATTTATGAAAAGAGGCCTGAAACTAAACACCAATTAACTTTGGAGGAAAGCTTCTAGTTAACTAAGACCTGAAATGGGACCTAATGGTTCATCGCGGTATCCAATTATTTTCTCTTAATTATGTGTGTTCCAAATTCCCGAGAGTATGATTTATTACTGAAAAATGTTATCTACATCTATCTTATATAAACATATTTGGCCTGTGGACTAAATATACAAAATTATTGTTACAAATAGTTACATCCTTCTCTTTAAAATTTTCAGCTGTAGCTTTAAAGCTGTGCTAATAAGTAATTTCTTTTCAGAGACTCCAAGCACTGCATCCAGTGGCGAATCAGAGGGTGATCGCACCCTGTCTCCGGAGACGCCGCGAGTGCAGCCCAAGGAACTGACTGGCAAATGGCGCAGGGAGAGACGGAACACACGTCTCCCTGATTATAGACCGAGGTAAAAATGATAAGATTATATTTGATACTTACTTCACTACTAAAAATCTGATGGTTTCTTCTTAGTGACATCGCTTTATGGTTCCAAAACCTACGTCTGTAAAATTCCGGAAGCTACAGTTCTATCCATTTCTAAAATAACCATGTGGGTAATTTACTTTTGAAACAGTAGCCGATTCGAACGACATTCCATTGGAACACAAAAATAAAACAGATTGCATCTTCCGATTTAATTTCCATAAATTAAATTTGTTTCCAGGGAGAACGGTAAGATGGCGCTCCGGTCGCAGTCTTTTAACGAGCGGCGCTGCGTGGCGTCTGTTGCGCGGGCGCAGCCGCATAGTGATGGAGAACTATCGGACGAGACTGAAGAAGGACCCGCTAACTTAGCAATTAATGGAAAACGTAAGGAATAATGCGCATTAATTAAGTAATAGGTTTGGATATCTTTATAAAAGTTGACAGGGTTCAAGTTTGAAAAGGTTAATTCAATTAAACTTCGTCGGATTTTATCAGATCTCAATTCCATCATTTTCGTCCAACTTTTTAAAATTAATTTCGCCTACGCCTTCAATTACTTGTGATGATCAATATTGATAATGTCACAATAAGGAGCTTGCCAGCCGTCGTCGTCATCTCAGTCGACAGATGGATATAGCCCTCCCCTAAGTACTGCCACAAACCACAGAAATTAAAAATCCTTTAATATGTTTACCGTAATGAAAAAACTGATTCGTTTCCAAAGCAATCCCATTTCGTGTCCTTCACAACGATTGTGGAAACCAAACAATAGCTTAGTTCCCCGGCCATGGAAGTTTATTTAACGAAAAATAAACTAAGTAGGAATTGCTTAGCAAACGATTTTGCTAGCTAAACACCGAAGACGTTATACAACAGCCTTGATTGGATTTCAAACTTTAGCGAAATGTGGAACAAGGACACGATAAACCCGCGAGACGAAGCCAATATAAAACTTCTTAGTAAATCCGATTCCCTACAAATCCTAACTAATGAAATTTGTTCTTCTAATCTCTTGGAAAACGGGTCTATCTAGTATAAGGTTGTAATTGGTGTCTGACGTCTATAATATCGATAGGTATAAAGGGGAGGTGAAATGAAGTTAGTGCGAAGCCGCGCGATGGACAATCTCACATAAGTATATTTACTAGATCCTTTGAAATACAGAGCGTACAAAGGACAGGCCTTTCTTTAACAGATAAAGCGCCTTAAGTACTTAGTCCAACCTTCTTTCAAGATTTACTTTAGTTTGTTCTATTATGGATGCAAGATGGAGTTCTGTTTTGATTGGTGTTCTAGCGAGTCGATGGAATCCCTAGAGGTTTCTAACTCAGCATTACCAAGATAAGACGAGAATATTAACTAAGACACTAACTAACTAATAAGAACTAAGAAAGATGTATTCAGACTTAATTGAGCCGTCTTAGGATTATAATCAACTTGTATTTTAATTATTTGTTACATTAAATAGTGATTAAGTTTTTTGCACAATTGAACAAGACAAGGGAACAAGGAGTGTTTTTAAAATTCATTAAGTTAAATCTAGATCAAATTGCTTAGATACCGAATGATATGCATATTGCTCATAAATTTAGGCTCGTTGCTAATCGTCATACTATGTATGGCACGAAGTATGATTTCCGTTATGGTGCTGCTGTACTGATGATAAATCCACTTATCATTTTGCAAATGAAATGTGATTGACTACATAGGAACTATGAATTATCATTATAAAAATGGTTGTTATCACAAGAAAATGTGAATCATAAACGCATAGTTTTTTCATTTGCTCATGTTTTATTAAAACTATGATTTTTCACAGTATGCTTATAAAATATTATGAAAAATATGTAGGTAGATGACGTCAATGTCTTATGCGTGAAGCCTTTATCATCACATCAGTTGTCAATATTGTTAGTCATTCAAAGTCTGTATTGAAAAGTTATTAAATAAGTACTAATTGTACTACTTGTATTATAATATCAATTAACCAATTACATTATTTGTTACAGGGGCACCTCCAGAATACCCGGTTGGAAAGAACGAGGCTCCGATAGACATGCGCCTGCGATCCCGACCCGCACCGCCGCCCTACACGAGGCCGTCTGTCATCACGAAGAGCAATGATACTCCACCCGGTAAGTTTTCATTCGGTTACATTTTGAAGACATCTCTGTCAAGACACTCTTGATTCGTTGCATTATAAGACCAACGCTAATTTATCATATTTTTTGCCAGGTTCAATGTCAATGTGCGACCCTGTGATCGATGAACATTTCCGGCGTTCACTGGGCGATGACTACATGAACTTATTTAAGAAAAACAACCCAGAAAGTGCACAGCCTACACCAAAACCCAACATGAAAGACCGAGCGAGTAGCCCTATACAGTTCAAAACTGAAGAGCTCCCGAAACCTGCAAAAATAATAGCAATGGAAGTGGACGACGCGAGTATGTCTGTAGACGACCACTTCGCAAAGGCGTTAGGGGACACCTGGAGGCAAATACAGACATCAAGGTTAAAAGATAACGAAAAAGTACAGCCAGCAAGCAAGGGTGGCGTCGACGACCACTTCAGTAAAGCCCTCGGAGAGACGTGGAAACAAATTCAATCGTCGAAACTCAACTTAGACACAGATAACGAAAAACCTAAAGATCAAACGACGAAAATTATTTCAAGGAGCGGAGTAGTAATATAATAACGGTAGTTAAGCCGCTGGGTGGTTCGGTTTACGGCCTTGTAAAATTTACGAGGCATTTTCATGATACTAACTGGAGTATCAATAAATTCCCACTTGTTTTACATAAAGAAAGCTATTATTTTGATAATGGGTACGGAGTGTGTGCCAGTTGTGACGGTGCCTTTACACCTGGCTGGCGGTACTTACCGAAAGATTTATTCCAATATTTCTGTTACTCGGTATGTTTAGAACGATGTCGTTACTCTTGGCAGTCGCCATTGTTTATCGTAAAATGTTCAAGATAACAAAATGTCAATAACACGTTGTGACGGTTAATAAAAACATTGTAAAACGTGGTTGGAGGCACCTTTATGTTTAATAGAAAACGAAATCCATGACAATTCTGTTACCTTAGGTTTTTGGGTAATATTTTTGTATTGTTATTTAAATAGTCAATTAGTCACCAGTTACACATTGTAAGTTATTACCTCAATATGAGCGCTTTTGCACAATTCACTAATAGATTTAAGAAATAATGTTGTAAATAATAGTCATTGTATGGTTGAGAGATAGAAAGGATATTTATGAAAGGCGATATTTAGATATGTTTGACTAACTGTGTTTCATTTCAACATTAAATGTTCCTCGTGTAAATGTGTGTATGTGCAAGTAAAACTTCGAATGTTCTGTATGCCCATCGAAATTTTACCCACGTGAGATATTGTGTCAGAGTGTAGATACTTTATTTTGATATTCGATAAGTGTGTGAGTATGGAGAATAACTAGTAAGGAATGAAAATATAATGCACATGAGAAATGCTTGATGAGAAAAATGATAGCAATGTTACTTTGTTTATGATTTAGTTGAACTTACTTGTTATAAGTAAGTTTATTGAAATATCTCATTAAAACTTGAAATAATCTCATTGTATCTCTCTTTTGTATGTTTTCTAAGATGAATGGAGGTAAATGTTTTGATGTGTTTTACAAAACTTAGTTTTATATTAAAGTGTCGAATGCTATTATGTTTCTCATCAAGTTTTCATATTTTGATAAATTGGGGCAGCTGGCTGTCTCCTATGTCCTACGACTTAGTAATATAAATATTAAATATAATTCAGTTTGATGTATGTAAATAACGTTTTCCTATTTATGCACTTTAATTTAAGTATAATGTCGTTGAAGACGAGCAAATACACATAGCCTTTAAAATTATGTGTTTTATTTTTATTTATGCACCTAATACGAATTTATGCGTCTGTAGCTTGCCAAGTCTTAGGTACTTGTGTAAACAAAATACTATAAATATTAGCATACTGAAATTACAGCGTATATGCGATTTATGCATTCGAAATTGCGTTTATTTAGCGAAAGTCTGGGTGTAATTTCACTAGGTAGGAACACAAGAATACTAGCAGAACACCCACTTTTCACCGAATATATTATTTTATTCAAGAAGGTATTTATTACACTTAGATACTAATATTCTAAATGAGAAAGTGTGCAGACTAATTTTGTCTTTCTTTCACCTATGTCGCAAGGCTTTTAGGATGATTTTGTATGTATCTGAAGATAGTTTAAAAGAACGAAGACTGATATAAGCTATAGTGATATAGATTACTCCTGTATTTGCCAGCTAGTAACTTAACATTATTATATGCGACATAATTGAATATCCCAAACAATTCTAACACGAGTAGTACGGAATACCAAACTTATAAAACATTTCTGTCGCAAATTATTCTCAAGTATACTTCACGAAGTAATTTGAAGACGTTATCTAATCCTATCTGAGATGGCTATAGCGTCTGGGACGGGACCTATTGTTACGGAAATTCGTAAACCCTATTATGAAGTGGGACACAGCATTACGAAGTACATAATATAATATTATAATGGCCCAGATGATCTCAGTTGTGTCTGGGTTTGAGGACGGATATGAATAGGGTATTCTAATTACTCTTTTGTACTTACACGTAGAACATTAATTACTACTAGTAACTTAGGTAGAATACTATTTTTTAAGTGTACAAGTTCGCCACAACCTTCCCTAACCGTTGTAATCCAGGATCTATAGTAGATACAACCATGAATACAGCAGAACACTGAAGTCCGGCGCGTCCCAGGGTCATCTTGGATCCCGCAACGAAATAAATCAGAAGATAATAATAGAGAAGAAAAGAAATGGGATATTAATTATGTATTAACGTATGTTATTACTTACATGCACATTCGTGATTTATTATGTCATTACCAATAACAGAAAACTGTTAATAACTGTCATTATATTTACAAATAAATACTCACTTAACCAAATTTTAAGTCCTATATAGTAAACACCTACCTAAAATATTCTGTAGGGGCAAAAAAGTAATTTGCATAAAACACGCAATTAAGTGTTCTGTTGTCTCTCCCTGAGTTACCTTTTCAGCTAATTATTTGGAACAGACTTAAAGGAAAACTGTCCTTCTTTAGACATCTAATTCAGTTACACAAATTAACATAATTGCACCCAACGAGGAGGTACCTAAGATAGATAGGGAAACAACACAATGGGAGTCTTAAAATACTGTTTCAGGTTCCTTAACCGATACAGTTCCTAATTTAAATAAATTATTATTAGTCTCTGACGGTGGTGCTAGGGTAAAGAGGTAGTACCTAACATTTTAATGTACTTTATGTCCAGGAATACCTTTTTTGATTGTGACGTCATGACGTTATGTAATGTTTACCATGACTAGACTGAACTTAGAGTTACGTAACGCTTTTCTTTCAAAGTTCTAGATAGAAAAGTGGATCATTGATAAAAATCTAACAGGATTATCCTATAGAAAAGGTATTCAAGTGAATGGAATTTTCTAGTGACGTCAGAACCTTAGTACTAAGGTATTGACCAGTGGTTCGTCAACAAACATGGTACCTAACGGCTACTGCTAGGGTGCGCCAGACAAATATAGGGTGTAAACGGGTCGCTCCCGAAAAACGCCCATAAGTGATGATGAAAAACAAGTCTTATTTTCATAAATGTAAGGATTTAAATGTTTCTTTTATGTAATAAGAGTTGTAATCAACTACTCAAGACTGATGTTGCATTTTTTTTTTATTCTAGCAACTATCATTACAGACTAATCCAAAATGATAGTGTGGCCATCAGTCTTACAAATACTTACAATATATTTCATAACAACACCACGCCTTTTATCCCCGAAGAGGTAGGCAGAGGTGCACATTATAGCTATTGTACAATGTAACACCCACTTTTCACTATTTATGTTATGAGTCCCATGTAATGGGGGGTGAGCCTATTGCCATGTACCGAGCACAATTCCAGTATTTACTTATTATCTAATTATATTAAATTTTAATTTATTACCTATATTAACCTAGATACAATACAACAATTCTGATGAATATAAATAAAAACGATTAAAATTATAAAAACAATTTCTTTTTGTCAGCGTTTTGTGAGAGTTTCGTTTACTCTCTGTATAGTTCTTAAACATCGTTACTTAAGAGTCACTGGAGCTCTTTATACTCCTCCATTTGAATGACAAAGATTCTTACCTTAGTAAGTCTTACAAGAGAAGGACAAGCTACGCAAACAAGCAGATCACTAGATAGTATAAAACAAAGTCTATCCGCCGTCTGTCTGTCCCTATGTATCTTTAAAACTACGCAACGGATTTTGATGCGGTTTGTTAATAGATAGAGTGATTCTTATGGAAGGTTTATATGTATAATACACGCATATTGCACCCGTGCGAAGCCGGAGCGGGTCGCTAGTATTCAATAAATAAGCTTTCAATTCTTTGTGGCACTCAAAAAAATTGTGGGCATGTGATGTATTGTGTATGTGTTTTATTGTGTTTGTATCTCTATGATCTATGATACTTAAATGACAAATCGTATTTTACGGTTATGTTGTACAATAACCTGCAATTTCTGCAATAGAAAATTTCATTAATCAGTGTTTGTTACTTTTCTAGACCTTAAATACCACAACTCACTCCTTTATAAACTGACATCGCCCTTATTGAATATGGAAACAATCTTGGCTAATCCGACCCATGAAACGGTAATTAGGTTCGGTCCCATTTTATAAGGCTCACACGTTTATTATATAAACATTATGTAAGTATTTATGTAAAACACCTTCTCATTTCCGTGTTGAAATAACATTTTTTTTTTATTAAAAACTTAGAAAATATAAAATCCAGGTAAATACGTAGTACTACATTACACTTATCTTAATTTTATGTAGCTGCGGTAAAAAGCTTTGTAGAAAATTTCGCTCATAAATGGAATTGAAGCTAGTTGTTAGTCGACCTACTTACATACGAATGGTAAAAACCGTAAGTATTTGTACTTTAAGCAAGCAAATTCCACTTTTTTGAGGGGCGTGTGAAAATATAACCCAAAGGTACTATTACACATGTCGCGGAGAGCCCTTTTCTTTTTAAAGGGGGGAAAATCATCGAATGACTGCTCCCGCCTCTAGTGTCAGACTCTTACTGACTAAAAACCACCCCGTTCCTTCTCCTGCACGTCGAGCCGGAGCCCCGGTTACCCGTTAGGTTCTCCGCGACTCCGAATCGACATCGGCCCTAGAGCCTAACGGGTTACCGGGTCTC